CATTCGCCCGGGAATCGACTGAGGGGCAACGCCCGGCGTTCTGGCTAAGACCTCTACTTAGACAAATTCTGCTCCAGCGGTACATAATTAGTCTTCACAGTGACTAGAACCATCGACCATTCGGCTGTCCGCTCAGGTTCGGCAGGGACCATAACAACATTGTATAGTATATCTTGGGCTCTGTGATCACTACATGGTAGATATTCACTTCCGTTGGTCAATTCAGGAGGACTGATTCTGTCACGCGTTGTCTTATTTTTTCGGTGAGCAGCATTGCCTGGTCGACCCATCTTGCATGCATATTAACCTGACCTTGTACTTTGTAGCCCTGGGCTGAGAACTGTGGGGCTTTCGCCCTCAGTGAACTTTTCGTGCGGACAGAATAAAGGGCTCCTTTCACTCTTTTCCTTGGATTGTAAAATGGACTAAAGAATACTTTTTTCGTGACGTTATGTACATAGCGTCAAGAATAGTACATAGTACATTAGCTGCAGAGCGTTCAAATTTTATATATGGACCGCTATTATTCCTAGTTGTACATCTTTTTTTTATTGCAATATGAACCAACAACATTTTGTTTTAACTAACAATAACAGAATACAAACTGCTGTTGCAAAACATATTCAAATAAATATCTAAATTTATTTGTTCTTATGATAGAAAGCGCTTTAAATCCGTACTCTTTAAATCAAGCCACGCTCAAATGAAATGTAGACAGCAGAGTGCCAGAGTAAATTTTTGTTTTAAGATTTTTCTCTGATCTGCTTTCTTCTTCGTTAATTGGCGTATCGCACCTGAAATAAGGACGAAGATGTTGTATGTGCACAATTTTCAAAAACTTGTTCGTTTATTCTAAATTTGATCATGCAACAAATAACCCCTACTACACGAACAGCAACAAACTGAGCCTTGAATTTTCGGAAAGACCTGTGTGATCTTGCTTCTGCCGGTCGCATAATACGAGATCTCATATTTTAAATGAATGGAATCTGTATTGGAGATCAAATCATCGGTTTTTTCCCAAATGTGGTTCACGCGTATAATTTGCGGCTTCGTCCCTGTCTAAAGATAAAAGTTCAGGTTGATCTTCGCTTGGCATGTCATCTATGAAGCTCCCGATGTAAAGTTCTCGGGAAAAGCGTGGCTCATATCCATTAAGGAAATAAAATAGGAATCTCCTGATGGAATTTTGTCTTGTGATGTTAATCAACAGCAATGCGTCTGGTTCTAATAGATGCCATTGGCTCTTTCTTTTATGCTGTTAGCTTGCGGCGAATAAAGCTGTATCGTTCATTGTATGATGCCATACTTTACCGCAGCGTCTGGCGTTTGGTGAATGCAGTTCATTTCTCTGATAAATACATACTAGGCCACTCATATCGAAGTATGATGTTGTGATACAGGGCATCAGTCACTACATACGCGACGAGAGATGCAAAAGGCGTTGCATTCCCATAGCATGTGGCGTGGTTATTCTGGAGTAGCATGTTAGTGTGTCGTGCTTTGGTTTGCGGCAAGCAGATAATGTGATTAGCGGATATAATTTCCTACAGTGTTGTTGGAATCGGCAGCTGGTGCAATAAACCGTGGGCATTAGCAATTCACGGTGGAAAATTTGACATTTGTGTCAACTTCGGATATATATCTCACAGTTTTCTTCTCATATTTGGCCACCAATAGGTATATTTTATAGCACGTATGTTATAAATTACGAAGAGTATTTTGGGTATCCATATGTCGGACATCAATATGATCAAGCAATCAAAGTTTGCTCTTGCCCTGCCTTTGGAATCACTTCTGTAGACTTCGACTTTACTCGCACAAGTATCCATACTGCAATTTCATTGACTGACATTGTTTTTGTACTAGGGTTTTCTTCATTCAGCAAGTGAAAAATATACTGACAAAAGTCATTATGAATCTGTTCTGCCAAAATTTCTGATTCATAGCTTGCACTAACTATTAAACAAATCGCTGCTACGAAAACGTGACAGGTAATCAGTGGTCAACTATACACTTGCCAGCTTGCCTCGCCATTGTCAAGCATGCATTTCAACTAGAGGGCATCATACTTGTTATCAACATGATGTTTCCACTGCACGATCTTCCGACTCATTTAACGACCCCCGCTATGTGATGGTCCTAATACACATATGTTTCTGTATGCCTTTGCTTTATTGTTTGCTATTGTAGTCTACCAACCAACGTCTACCCCACCAACCAACACACAAATACCCCACCAATAAATACCCCACCAACGTCTTGGATCAATTTCACGCATATCCGTTAAAGAGTTTTTATTCCGTGTTTATTCTTTGTTGCATATTTTTTAGCAGTAGTGTATTATAACTATTTCCTGTTGTCAATTACCAGTGTTTTGCGGATCTGGCGAGACGAGAAAGAGCATTATTCAGTTTTAGTTCGTCTGACCAGTGAGCTAATTTTGATATTCTTTCAACCTCTTCGTACCATTCGCAGACACGGCTTTTTCTTTAATGGCGTTTCCTTTAAAATTTTTAATTGAATTTGCGGTATCATTTGTGGATGTTATTTGGAGAACATTTGTCTAGCTTTGTCTAGCTAATAACAGTTTTTGTGTCTGATGATCCACCAATGCAACGAGAAATGCAGCAATGTTTGAACCCATTGGTGAGGATGGGGGTGTGTGAGTGGGGGCAGTTGATGAGGACGATTACTTAAAAGTTCTAATTGTTTTGTTAGTGATTCAGTTTGTTTCAACAATTCTATTTTATAAGGAAGTGTTTCTTTGGTATTATTCTCATCGCTGTTTGGCAATTGCATAAGAAAAGTAATTGATTTACCTAAGATTGCATCTTCAGTTCTTTTAGTATCATCTCTACAATGTAGGAGATAATTTTTATTTCCTTTGAACGAAATTTTTCTGAAACTAAATTGTGTTTTCAACTTTTCGATAGTTAAAATGAGTAAGTTATTGAGCTTCTAAAGAAATCAAAGCAGTACTGTCTTTGTCTGCAAAATCTCCAAATCTTGCAATATATGATTAATAAAAATCACTTAAAAATTTAACATGCTTAGAAATTCCAGTAATAAAGTTAACTTTTAAAATATCATATTTTAAAGAAAAACTTTCTTTTTTTTAATTGAACATGACTGAGATATGTACTAAAATTGTTTTGCGTTCTTAATTTAAGTTTATCACGTACATGCTCCTTCAAACCAACATTTTTAACTCACAAAATATTTTTATTGTTATTTTACTTCTAACTAAATCCGTATAATCGTTATTCAGTCAAATGGTTAAAGCTTTAATGACACACATCTCTAGAATTATGTAAGGAACAAGGCAAGAGGGATTTAAACTTTTCCTGTTTATGCGATACAAAAACTTTCTCATGCTTTTTATCTCAAAAGAAATCATCTTTATGAGATGTTGATAAAGTCTTTATTCTTGTAATAATTTAAAGATCATAGATGCAAAAAGTAAAAAAGTTATATATTTAAGATGGAATATTAACTAAAAGATAAGTAATAAGAAATGATTATCTATATCACACATTGCTATTCAAATAAAATCATTCTCAAATTCTTCATTTACATAGAAATATGTAAACAGATTACATTTATTTCCGAGTTCTGACTTGTTTTATCAAAAATGTAGGAAGCTGGGTTCTCATAAAAACATAATTTCTTGAGTTTAATTTGAAAAGCAAACACTGAAAATTTATTACAAAATAAAAAGCTTACAAATTTAATCAATGGTTAAAGTGCTACAGTAGTAGATAGTCGCAGAAATGTTTCCTGTAAGTCTTACACATATTTTTTTTTTCCTCTCGTAAAAGCTGCATAATATTTTTTTATTTTTCTTTTTATTTAAACACGAGATTCATAATTAACTATTAAGAGTTTGATCAATAATATTAATTTTGATTTCCCCATCCAGCTTTTCGAAACTGTCATAAATTTAATTTACCGTATTGCGCTTCACGGTATTAAATTTTTTTTTATTGAATACTTAATAATGAACGTAAAACATTTGTTCAAAGCTTTAGTACTTATGATAGAACTGATGTTTAAAATAATTATTTAAGAATATTTGCCTAGTTACTAATTGCATTTATTTCAGAACAAAGCGACATATCAAACCATTTCACTAATTGTTGGTTTAATGAGTCGGTTAAGGTCAAACTGTCAAAAGCTTTACTAAAACAAAAGTACCTTTCAGAGGTTTTTTTTTAGCGAAAATTCGCTCACTCCACTAAAGCCTCCACGCAGTCAGCCCACTCAATCGTTTTGAAAAGAATAAGGGGTGAATTACTATTGTTTCAGGAATTTAGTCATTCTGTGAGTGGTTCCTTCCACTCTGAAATTTTTATCTTCATTTTTTTCCTTTCTTTAAGAAATAATTTATTATGAAGTCATAGTAATAATTTATTTTAATGTCGATTGTTAAAATGTCCATTGTTAGAATGTCCATTGTTAGAATGTCGGTTGTTAGAAAGATGAAAGTCGTTAATTTTTTTGAAAGCTAATGAATTAGTTTGATACTTTACTAAATTATCCGGTGTGAAAGATTTCATACTGCTGCCTCTACTTAAGAAACGTAATATAGAAAGATTTCATATAATTTCTCATATTATTTTAACGTGCTCACTTACGTATAAAACAATTCATATCTAGACAGCACGCATATAATTACCCAATTCATCCTTTGTGTGTAGAGACATTAGGTTATTTAGGAAGCAGGAGAGATGAAAAATGAGCAACACCTGCGCCGGGAATCGAACCACGGACCTCTGGATACTCGCCCAGGGTGCTGACTACTACACTAAGAAGGCAGGCTGAGAAGGCGGGGGAAATACCTTATATACTCCCCCTTTTAAAGGGCGACTGGGTTTTAGTGGACCCATTCGCCAAATCCTGGGTGTGGAGAATCATCATCCAAACACCCTTTTAGTTCGGGGCGCCACTGTAAAGACATTAGGTTATTTGGAAGCAGAAAAGATGTGAAAAATGAACAATGCCCTCCCCGGGATTCGAACCCCGGTCCTCTCGATTACACGTCGAGCGGGCTGACCACTACACTACGAAGGCATGGTAAGAAGGCGGGAGAAATACCTTATAACTGCGTGTAGTTTTAATTGCTCATTTTTATGACAGTAAGAAAATAAATGTATTTTTTCAGATTTTGCAGGCAGTAAAGATAAACTTTAGCATTCAAGTTAAAGATGTGTAAACACACGGTAATTTTTTGTTTACATCTGTATTTCAGGTCTAAAAACGTGGAGCACTAGCTATTCCCTCTTCGGGACTCCAACCACGGATAATCCTGTGATATCCGGACGTGCTTACCAATTACACTGTGAAACCACGCATGGGGGGCATAATTTCTTATATAGATATAAAGGTCATAATAAAAGATGGAAATAAAGGACTTGACGATGTTCTTGTCCTCAAGGAAATTTTTCTTAAAGGCTCCTTGAAACCCAAAAAACATAGTTGGACTCCAGCAATATTAATATCGTTTTTTAGCAAATTTCATTTCTGTCACACTGGTTGGCAGAACATTTTCATAATATTTATTGTTCACTGTTTTACAATTTACAAATTTGTATGATTTTAAAAGACAATCTTCATTACATAACAGTACTGCACTCTATGTACTTCGAAGAAATTTTTTCAAACATTCCTGAATGTTATGTTGCTTGTTCTACAGATTCAATTGCTGATCGAATTTTTGTTACAGGGAGGCCAATCAAAAGAAAAAAGAAGTCGTCTTTAATTATGTCATCATTATTCTTGAGAAAGTTGTTTCGCGGATCTGTAAGTCCTAAAAATTTATAAGTTTCAGCTTAATACGCTGGAAATGAAGATTAAGATTCTTATTTTGCTTTTCCTTTTTTAAAAATAGAACCTCTTTAGAATTTTGAAATGATTTCTTGAGGACTTCTGAAGATATGGATGTTCACCTTGATGAACACATGAAAAGAAATAGTCAGTAGTGTTCTTATGAAATATGTTGGTCTAAGAAACCGAAAATGATCATTGCGTTTTTATTATTATTTTTTAATGGAATTTCAATAGAACTAAATGCGTTTTTAGTCACTATTTCGATAATACTATTGCTTTCATAAAAATTACTGAGGACGCAGACATATGCTTGCGATGTTAATGAAGACACGAAAGGAAACAGTCGGTGTAGTTTTCAAGCCTTCAAAATAGCCGAAGAATAGGGTAAAACTTTTATTGTTAATATCGAATGCAGCAATCATATCAAAAAGATATAAATTGTGTTGAAAAAATGATATAAATTGTGTTTTAAGTCATATTTTTGAAAGATGAATAAGTGTGCATGTTTTCTGTACCAAATAAATTTGATAGAAATTAATATTAACGGATACATGGTGAAATTCTCCTTGCCTGCTAACTTCTTGAAGATCTTTAATATTTTTATATCTAAAGCTGCACACTAAAAAGCTCATCTCAAAGAAAAATAGACTGTTGAACAGAAATTAATCATAGTCAAAGAAATGTATTTTCTGACGTAGGTGACAAGCAAATCGAAATTTCAAGATAGCCATTTTATTTGTGAGAAATTCTTAAAACCTGTCCTTATTTTAACTCCTACGTAGCATTGATAATGCTATAATTATATAATGCTTTGTCTTCCTGCATATATCCTGATAAGGAATTATTTGAGAACTATATTCTCTTATAAATATGAATTAGTTTCTGCAGTTCCTTATAAAATCGTAAACTCTTCCGTTTCTAAGAAATTATTGCATTCGCATATGCGTGCCCTTGTCATATAACAGATTGTAAATTTAGCTAGTAAGTGAAAAATCAGTGGTTCAAACACCGGCCAGATCATAATTGAGTTTTCATATTTTTCACTTTGAAAAACCTGCAAATTTATTTTCAATGACCGAAGTACATATTTATACCAAATTCTGAATTAAAATGCCCTATTCTTCTCTCAGCGTTTTCTAGCTACGATAAAGGGAAGATTTAAAAAAAAAACTTTTAAATTGTAATTATTTAATCATAATGATTAAATAAGAACAGTTACCAAAGTTCCTTAATATAGTTGCTGTTATATTATTTTATTAAAATTTAGTACATAACAAGCTTTTTTCTGGCTTTCATTCAGACTTTATTGCACTTTTCTCAGACTTTAAAATTATAAAATGCATACATTGATGTCAAAAATTAAATTGATGAAAATAAAATACAAATATTATTAAAAAAGCATTCCAGTGTTTAATTTATTCAAAATATTTTGTTTATGTAAGTAGGAAATTTGATATAAAGACACTTTTTTAAATAAAATAATGAAGACTTTCATTTGCTCTTATAATCATGTATCATTTTCGTCAAAGCATAAAGATCTGAACGGTGACCCTGAAAATAGTATAGTTTTCCAATGTTAAGCAATGGAACTTGTGCAGTGAATTCAGAATAATGCTAAAATAATGCGGTCCGTTCATTCAGAATTAATGCTAAAATCCCTCTCAGAATTAATGCTAAAATTAATTCAGAATTAATGCTAAAATAACGCGCTCCGTTCTGTCATGCTACCATGCATGGCTTCAAATTGGTGGCCCGAGAGTCCCATGCAGGCCCTGATGCAATTTTATGCAGCCTGCAAAGATATTCAATTATGTATTTGTTGCAAATATGGTGTTAAAATATTTGAAGATTTTAGTTATTTATATTATTAACTATTAGATTTTAGTTATTTAGTTTTATAAGTCCAAGCTTATATTATATTCAATTTCCGTTAAAAACGAACATGAATAACTCACCAAAATATCTATAAATGAAGTTAATGAATTTTATTCAAATGCACTGCTGGCCACCGTAAATGCAACACCCTGAAGGAAGCATGCAAATAACATGGAATTTACAACATGCATTAGCGAAGGTGAGATATGCAAATGATTAGAATTTTAGCGCAGACGCACATCACGTGAGCCTGTGGCGCCTTTTTTCAAAGTGCTATTTAAGGCTTGGAGTTTTAGACGATTTCAAGTCCGGCAATTGTATTTTTCTTGGGTTTTTTTTCAAAAAAAAAAAAAAAAAAAAAAAAAAAAAAAGGAATTAATTATGCCTCGTGGCAAACAGCGATCATCGTTTGATCAAGTATCCGAATTCGACAGAGGAAGGATAGTGGCCTACCGAGAGTGTGGATTATCTTTTAGGGAAACCGATAGTCGCGTTGGACGAAACCAAACAACTGTAATGCGGATATGTGACCGTTGGATGCAGGAGGGTATGACGTACCCACGTGTTCGATAGCATCCACCTCAGTGCACCACTTCACGTGATTACAGGAACATTGGGCTCATGGCAGTGACGGAACGCTCAGTCACATCACGAACTATAGCACAGCACATTCAGTCTGTAACGCGTCATCTAGTGTCTGCGCGTACCATTCGATGCCGTTTACAGCACAGTGGTCTGTCCGCAAGACGTCCATTGCTTCGTCCACCCTTGACGCAGAACCACAGACGTCTCCGCCGCCAGTGGTGCGATGAAAGAAGGATGCGGACGGCAGAATGGAATGAAATTTTCTTTACTGACGAGTCACGCTTCTGTCTGCAACACCGCGATTGCCGGATTCGAGCCTGGAGCATCCAAAGAAAAGAACACATCCAAAGTCTCTTTGAATCAATGCCAAAGCGTGTGGCAGCGGTGATCTCCAACAATGGCAGCTACTGTGGTTACTGATTCTGGAAGGAACCACACTTCACAGAAGTCTATAAATTTAATTACTTGATACTTGGTCAACATATTATCTACTAAATAAATTTTGTTGTGACATCTCTTGTCTTTCTTGGTGCTGCAATTTAGGAAGCCAGCAGTGTATATAAAGACGCAGATTTTAGAACTAGAGGAGAACTGTATTTGACTTGTGCAGAAATCCGACTTAAACGGTAAATATATTTTTCTTTGTTCAGAACTTCTACCTAAAGGATCAATATCTTTGATTAAAAAATTATCAGAGTTCCTCTGCCCTACAGAAGAAACGACTTTGGATTTATTCGAAAAATACGAAAATCAGACCACAAAATTACTTTTTCGTCATTGTAAAGCCTTAAGTCCTTGGTCCAAACATTTAAGCCCCCGGTTTAAATCTATCGCTGTTTGCATTTAACCAGACATGCACTTTTGGGAGAACACTGACCATTGACACTTTTGGGAAACGACTTCTTTTGCCGAGTCTTGTTTAAGTAATCTTTGTGTCATTTGTTTAAGTCATTCATTTTACAGCTAAATGATATGAAAAATTTGAAAGTTTTTATAAGAGCTGGGGTAATTTTGATTGACTATTTAAAATAAGCTTACTCTACTTTTCTTTAGCTTATCGAAGCAATTGTAGTACATCAAGATTTCACCTTCAGCTACAGAAGACGTTAAACTTTGGTTTCAGTACGGAAGGTAGACATAAAAACTGTGCATCTAATGGAAACAAACGGTTGATGAGATATTAATATACGACCTTAGTCCTTCTTGTGTCGCATTTTAATCTTCTTGGCTCCTGTTGAGAAATCTGTGGTGATTCCGCTGAATGGTTCATCATCACCGCCATCAAATAGATTTTTAATATACTTACCGCCTTTATATATTCAAAGTTTTAAAGATGAAATTATACTTTATACATATTTTGTGTATTTCTTATACAACTTATGATTTTAGTGATATTTTAGGTTTTGTGCATTATTTGATACAATTTGAAAGGCATGGGACAGATCAAAATTATTTTTCACAATTGATAATTAACTTTTCCAGAACTTAATATCTTTTTGGCTTGGGAAAGGGTTTTCACGAGAAAAATTTTCACAGAAAATGAGAGTGCATTTGAACCACCTACAAATAAAGAGGTAAGTTAAAAATTTGTGGACATAACATTACATCTCTTTTTGCTTAAAAAGGTTTACTCCTTCCAAATTAACTCATTGAGGCAAACAGAAAAATAACAAAGATCATTAGTAGATTGAGAACCTGCCATTTTAGAGGAATGAAAATTGATAAAGATGGTATCATATCATATAGAATTTATAGAAGCTGCCCCGAAACAGAGCTTTCTCCAA